TCATGATCAAATAATGATGCTGTGTTTCTGTGATTGTGCTGAAAAGGACATTGTAAAAAGAATCTCTCAGAGAACTAAACTCTAACATTAGAAATGGAACAATAAGTTGATGAAGAATAATAAATTGGATTTTATAATCTATTATCATCTATTACCTAGTATTTAATAATCAGATTATTGCTTTAATCAGTTTTCTGAAACAAAAAACAACATTCCTCTTGTTTCAGCCTCTCCAAATATGAGGATTTTAATGGCGTTTTCTTTTACATACATAACCCAAAATTACACTGAATTAACACCGTTTCGGGGTCTCTTCGACCTGTTACAGACATTTAAAAGACTTACGCTTGGGCTTGTGGAAAACCGCTTTTAAACAAGCTTTTTCAACTATCTTAACAATTTTATAGACAGGAAAAATGATTAATCAAGAAAACAATCTGCAAATTAATTGAAAATGAAAATAATCTTCTTTCTCACAATTCTCATTTTATCTTCCCAACAGAACGAAGTCAAATCGGATGCAGAGAGCTGAGGTCCACGAAGTATATCTCTGATGGCCACTGCACCAGCATCAACCCCATCAAGGAGCTGGTGTGCACTGGCGAGTGTCTCCCGGCTCAGATGCTTCAAAACTGGATCGGCGGCGCCTACGGCAGGAAGCTCTGGGGTCGCCGGAGCAGCAACCAGGACTGGCGGTGCGTCAACGACAAGACCCGCACCCAGCGCATCCAGCTGCAGTGCCAGGACGGCAGCACGAGAACGTACAAAATCACCGTGGTCACCTCATGCAAGTGCAAGAGGTACTCGAGGCAGCACAACGAATCGGGCAACAAGTTCGAGGAGCCGTCTCTGTCGCCGCCACAGCTCCTGCACAAGCACAAGTCCAAGAGCAAGAGGAGGCTGGGGAAGAACAGGCTGAGCGAGAACTGGCACGAGACTGAACCCTGAGCGCCTGGCAGGGACGCAGACTCTGAATCCACATAAACCGACTGGAGATTTGTCTCGGTGATAAGTGAGACACGCTGTCCAGAGCTGTGGATTATCTCTCAATGTGACTGGGACTTGATTTTTAGGTGAAGCTGGTTCCTCACTATGACGGAGAACTCCAAAGGGCATGCTTCGGACTTTTTCTTGACATTTGAATCCACGTGGTTGAAGACAGTGTGAACAGAAGTGGGGTGTACAGTCTGCAGAGCTTTCTGAAACCCCAGAGCAGCAAACCCACATTGTCCCAGATGCAGCCCGTGTTCCTATATTCATTTTATATGCAGATGGAGGTCTGCAGTCAACTGTTGAGGCACCAACACCAAAAAAATAACACCAAACATCTCAAAAAATCCTGTGTAAATACTTGTACATATATCAAATTCTTACTTGCCTTTTTTTGACATATGGCCATGTGTATAAAATTTTACTATGTAAGATTTATGATGTATTATGTAATATATTTTCTGTGCAACATATAATATGATACGTTTTGCTTAAGTGGCGTCAGCATGTGGGGGAAATCTGCAAAAAGGTTTGTCATCAATCAGCCCTGTAATAACTTTATATGAAATAAATATCACTTTTTATCACATGTATTGTTGTCAGCGGAGACTTTACCACGTAGGACACTACAGTTCATGATAACTCATGGAGAGAGATGTTTCATCTACAGGAGGGTTTGGGATTAAAACTTTAATCAGGCCAACAAGAAGTTAGAAGTTTTCTTACATACTGTTATATAAATTGTGACTAGTACACAAGTAAAGATGTTTTAAAAATAATCTTGGACTGAATTTTACTGTTTTCTAATTGAAAGGCTGGTAGTCTCGTGATACTTGCTACTACAATCTAGTTTCTGCACCGAGACCCTGAAATCACGCGAGAACGAAAATCTGTGAGGAGGAGTTGCAGCTGATGATACTTTTCCCAAACATGCGTCAAGCTGCTACTTAAACGTGATCGGAAACGAAATAATTTCACCTTTAAAATTAAAGTTGAATTTAAACGAAAATTAATCTTAAATAGAACATAACTGAGTGCAAAATATATTCTCTTAATTTTTCTCCAGCCATCGTTTTAAATTGTATGATAATTTTATGTTTCAGTGCATTTTTTGGCAGAAAGACGAGAACAGAAATATTACATTGTGCATTTTTTGTACAATACAGTCTGAGGATCTGGTACTTTAAGTAAGTATTTACATTTAAAGACACTTACTTACACCTAATTTCAACACCCCATACATTATAGTGGCAACCACTGTACTATTCTGACAAAAAAATAAAACCATTAGTCAAAGTCAACTCCACATGTCACAGTGTCGAATAGGGTTGCTTGATGGGTTATTTCTTAGGTATTTTAGGGCAAACTACTATCTCCAAGGTCAGGTATAACCTAGTTTCCACACATTTATCTGACAAATGAAGAATTTTCGATTAGCTTACTTTCTAATTCACATTAAAATGTGTATTAAAGATAATACACAAGGAACTCATGAAATACAGGGCATCACCTGTACAACATAACATTACAATAAGATTGCTGTTGATACATAACTTGCCTAAATTTTATTGCAATATAATTTATTAATAAATAAAATTTACAGCATTATTCATTGCGGCAATACTTGAATACTATAAGAAGAAGATATACTTTTTTGATCCCCTAGGGGAAACACACACACACACACACACTTTCATGCACTTGTGGACATTCAAGAGAGATGGTAGAGTAATAGGGCTGCAACGTTAGCAGCACCCCATGAGCAGGCTTGGGGTTAGATTGCTTTGCTCAAGGGCACCTCAGCAGTGCACAGGAGGTGAAACTTGCATCCCCCTCAGCTACCAGCCCACACTCCATATTTAGTGGTCTGAGGGACTTGAACCGGCAACCCTCCGGTTCCCAAGCCAAGTCCCTCCACACTGAGCTACTGCCGCCCCAAACGATACTAAAATGTTAAAACCAAGTGCTTCAATCGAGCTAAGACAATCAAAAACAGTACCCTACCTTTAATTCATACCCCATTCATGCACTTAAAGTACTTTGCACTAAAAACCAACCTTGACTGGGGGTTTTATTTTGAAAGCGTTCACCAGAAGTCCGCCACCTAACTGTTGTAGCTTGACGACACTGTTTCCCAAATATCCCTCCACGTTGCCGCAATCTTCCCACCCCGCCCATTAACTGGGAATGGGAAGTTTTGGGAATGACCTGCCGTGACCCCCCCACACCCCCCCATCCACCGACTGATGGACGTTAACCACATCAACATGCAGGGCGGTAATTGTGAACCGGAGAGGCCCGCTCATCCCCGGATTTTCCCAACCTGCGAGGCCGGGAAGAGCGACCACCAGCCGGGGGAACGCAGCGTGGACTTCCCGGTGTCTGTGGTTCTTCCTGCAGGTGGCACCGGCGAGAGAACCGGACTGCAGACACCGAAACAGTTCTGCTCGTTTCTGGGTCGGCCGCTCATAAGCTACACTGTCCAAGCTTTCGAGAGGTAGGAAACGACTGAAACAGGATAGGGATAAATGTCATATTCCCTGTTTGTGAACATGTCCAGGTACAGGTAGCTGTGTGTCTGTGCAGGCTGCTCACACATCCAAGTATTTACATTTTAATTACCTACTTTATGCTTTTAATGTGGGGAAAAACTTTCCTCCACTGCTTTTCAGAAGGAAATATTGTTGAGACAAGTTTTTCCAGTCATGGAAAACACCTGGAAATGAGTTAAAATGACCAAATATCCTGGAAATAATCTGTTTTTATTGTATTTCATTCTGCAGTCAATGGATCTTTTTCACAGCAGCTGATTTGATATGAAATAGTAGGGTAAACACAGGTGTTACGAGCAGTGCATGTAAGACTACTATTGCATATTCAGTTCACACAGAAATGGGCCAGTTGCACCTGCACATTATCATTATTAACTTCTGCTGCTTCTTGACACCAGGCAGTAAGGACTCAGGCATTATTAAATCAACTTTAACCACAGAAGAGGTGCAGATTTATTATATATTTTTACTGACCGACGTACGAGTGAGAAACTACATGATTGTGCATTTTGAGTGTATTCCTTATTCTTTACCTGCACTACACCCCTGGCTGTTATCAGTTGTACTAGTTAAGGTAGGCTTGTTGGAAATGGTCCGCTACACTAAATGGAACAGAGCCTTAATCAGCATCATCCTGGGTTTACCCTACTGTTTTAATGTCAACATGACTGCTGTGAAAATATCTATTTGGAAAAGCAGATAACAAACAGCCAACCACAAAAGCATCCTAAAAGGTCCTGGAAAAGGTCCTGGAAAGGTCCTGGAATACATTTCTTCTTAAAAAAAGGGGCAGATAAAGTATATAAAGTAATTTAAATTAGCCCTACCCTTTGATGAATGAAATTAAAGTGATGAATATATTTATTAGAAATATTCTGAAATGGGCCAGTCTGCATTGTGTACTGTCTGTAACACAACTCGTACCTGTCTACTGCTTGGTGTAACTCTGATAGTGTAAGGTGAAAATCAACCTTACTTACCCACTTTCTTACATTTTGAATGCAGCTCTTCTTCTTTTTTTAAATCACATTTAGGATTTGAGTTGTTCTTCCACCACTGGAGGACAGACTGATATTGACTTCAGCTTTCAGGCTCCAGACAGTGAGGAGAAGGTGGATGTTTACACTATGCTATGATCACTGCCTGACCTTCATTACAACAATACACTAACAACCGGTGTTTATAATCAGATGTGTCTCCTCTTAGCTTGTTGTGAGTGTTTACGTGTTAGTCAGGAAATGAGCGCAGCAACATCCTGGGGACTAGAGAGCATGGGGAGCATGCTGCCTGTGTGGCCCCAGTGATTACAGAGGGGCTCCTGGTGAAGGTCATCAGTGTCCGATCCACAATCCACGCATGGTCACTCGTAATAGGGATACATGGTCTTCATACGAATGCAGATGTATTGTCATATTGGCTTATTTTGCTGGATATAATTATCAATAATCAAATCAAATCAAGATTAGTTGATTATTTAACATTAATTCTGATTATTCGTTTGTTTAGAATCTGAATTTTGTTTATTGCCAAATAGGTTTTTACACTTACGAGGAATGTGTCCTGGTGCAGTTGGTGCGTAAAATATACAAATACAAATATACAAATCACACAAAACCACAATGAAAAGGTAAATGACATACCTTCAAGTGAACCAGATGATTTTTTCCAACGTATGAACTGCTGTCCTGCTAATACCAGAATTCTGTTATAATAATAAAAATACGTTCCTGAAAAGGTTGGGGCAAAGTCTGCTATTTCATGTCATATTCAACCTTTACATGAAAATACAAGTCAGTCTTGAATCAACATCAAGTTCTAGTGTCGGCATTCTCCTTGTGCGTGCCATCTATTGGAATAATGCAGATCTGAGTCACAGAGTCATCAAGTGCACATCAGTGCAAGCAGACAGCCTCTGACGTTAAGCAACATTAACGTCACAGTGGCATTCAGAGCAGCACTGTCCCTTGGGGCTGAACCAATCACGACGAACAACAGCAGGGAAACAGGCCAACAGGAACAGCAGGGAGGGGTCAACCCAACAGGTACACAGGTACGTAAAATATTTAACGTACGGTCAAGCAATTGTGTACAATGCCGGAAATGTGCTTGCTCATCCAGGACAATATCTGCACCGTAAGCAGTTCTGCAGAGGGGCCGCAATCTCCAAATGACGGCAAAATAAACTTTCGCTGACTTTTGTTATGCCCAAACTCCCCCTAAGGTGATGAAAGTGATGATGTAAGCTGTCTTCAAAATTAGACCCCTCACTCGAGAGCCTCCTTCGGAACAGTGACAGCCGCTGTTTGATAGCATCAATTGTCATTTTGTGTGAGGTGTCGTCAAATGGAAAACTCTAAGATATTTGGGGGATAGAAAGGAAGAATTGTGTAACTAAGTGAGAAAGGAGAGGTTAGACTGAGACTGGAAGCGGTGTTGGACATTCTGCACCGACGCCGGTCCACAGGCGACGTGTTGAGCACAGTCACAGCAGAAATCTTTATCAAAAAGGACGTGCGGGAGCATGAGAAGAAATGGGTTATGACAGTAGATTTAGCTTGTTATTTCCTCTGATTTCCCTGAAGCCCTCACTAGACACTGGATCACATTTTAGTGTAAAAACACAGTGCTGTGTTTTCAGCATGTAAAGTTGAGCTAAGCATAATGCAGATTTCTAGGGCCGAGTAACTCCCCACTTTTACTGCATATGAAAGGCTTGTCTCACCCTGCTGCACTGATACCATGAAATAAGTTTTCCTGACAGTCGAAAAAAAAAGAAAATTGGTGTTATGGCCCACTCATTTCTGCCAATGTCCAATTTTCCTCAACTTTTTAAAATTCCTGCCACATAATAAGATTTAATTTACATATTATATTATTTTTTGAAAGTTATACTGTACTCATACAATAGATTTTGGCCATATTTTATCAAAACAATGACTGTTTGGAACATGCTTAGTTTATGGCTGAACACTGGAGACGTGGATTATACTGCAGGATGTTTCAGTTGGCATTTCAATGCTTCATGGTACTTCTTCACCATGAAAACCTGTCATTGTTGGAATCCATTGCAACTGACACAATTTCAAGCTAAACACAGCTGCTGTTCTACAGTTTCTACAGTTTCCTAACAGCCAACTTTCAAGCCTACAGGCAGTCAGTGTTTGATACTCCGAGTGCAGCAGCACCTTGAGGTGTCAAACGTAGTTTCAAATTAACTGCTGTCTCAGATATAAATAACTCTAGTTATGAAACATGTATGTGATGACAAGTACTGTAAGGTGACATTGTGTGTGACAGGAAGCAGACTGTAAAATAATGCAGTGGCAAAAAAAAAAAAGAGCAAAAGGAGGAAAATGAGTCCTGATATCTTAACCTGTGCTAACTGTGAAAGCACAAGCATGAGGAATAAGAATAAGATATTCCAAGTCTTGGTATGAAAACCGAATGTCTTATTTGCACCGCAAAAATGATAAGTATCTGTAGAAAAATAAAATCGTATACTGAAATTCATTGGTTGTGACATCCAAGCGAGGGAACGTTCACAAAGGATTTTTTGGAAGGCAAAACTTCATCACATCAGAAAACTGGTGAAGCATTGAGGATGACCAGCTTTGTGATTCAACAGAATCTAAACAAGTAAAGATTCATTCATATATCACTTTTAAATTCAAATGTTACAAAGTGCTTTGCATTAAAAGCATTTAATAACAAGCAGGAAAGTAACAAGAAAACAACTTTGAAACAGTAAAATCCACCCAAAGTATAGAAAATTCTTGTTCTCCTCAATTCCCCATCTTTAACAGAATCCAATCTAGTATTATTCCTTTATACTAAATCTATATATAGATGTAGTCAAAGCTGCACATCACGTGACACTGATCCAGTTTATGAACTCTGACGTCCCCTGTCCACCCAGGAGCAAAGATCTCATATCCACTGAGTCTTGCTAAGAAGGTGCGCTACTTTATCAGTTCAACCGTAATGCACTGTCACATCTGAACAATACAGAAAAGGCACTTTAATGGTGCACGTAAAAAGAGCCTTAACGCATTCGAAATTGGCATAAGTGAAATAAAATTGGCAGTAAACATGCAGACAGGCAGGCGGCTCTACAAGAGGACAGCACATCTGCACTGATGGAGCTTTTATGGAGCAGGGGCACAGTGACAACAGCACTTACAGCCTTATAATGCAGCGATTAGCCTCAAATGGGACGAAATGTGGTGGCGCTCTGGCAGCACCCTGGTGACAGCACTGCTCTCTGGGGAGCACAGAGCCTGTCAGAGGGGCCTCCATCATTGCACTGGAGGCTCGAGCTGGCACAGCCTCCAGGCCAGGAGCATCTGCCCCCACCCCCAACGCCTCCCCTGAAGGAGTTATAAATCACCTGGCTCCTGACAGCAGCAGTGTGGAGAGGAGTCACCTTGGGTGGAGCCGGTGGCTTCTTCACTGGAAGACATTCACTTACTAATGAATCTTTTTTCTTCCTCTATCACCATTTATCGTCTCACACACACACACACACCACTACTACACCGCCACACACCACCGACGATCGACACAACACACACAACACACACACCACATCACACACACACACACTTATTCACCACAAGCAGGCTGAAGCACAGCACACTATCACATCACACACTAAAGGTCCATTTGGCATGCAGAAAGCTCCAAGCCTCAGTAGCTGTTCTCCCTCTGTTCCTGCCTACGTGAGGTTCCCATGTAACATGCAGCTGTGTCACTATATGGTAGCCGTCCTCTGCCACAAGAAGACAGCCATT